ACCTGACACTTGAAGACACTACCTCTGGACAGGTGGTCAAGCAGGAACGTGGACAGCACTCTTTTCTTGGGGCTACCTTGCTTGGTCCCCACTGTAGCCAATTCCACTGTATCACTCAGCAAGGTAGCCAGAAAGCAAGTGACCTGCAATATGACTCAAAAGTCACCTGGGAAATCTACTTCCCTTGGTACTTCTCTCACCCACATCAACAACAAGATGTTGTTGATGGCCAGAGCGATAGCACAGCGGGTAAGGTGTTTTTGCCTTGTATGCAGCTGACCCGGGTTCGACTCCTCCGTCCCTCTTGGAGAGCCCGGCAAGCTACTGAGAGAATCTCCCCTGCATGGCAAAGCTTGGCAAGCCCCCCGTGATGTATTCAATATGCCAATAACAGTAACAACAAGTCTCACAATTTGTTGTGAGATGTTACTGGTACCCGCTCAATCAGATTGATGAACAACAGGAGGACAGTGACAGTGACAGTCATTAATATTTAAAATTTCTTTCTTTTGCTGACATAATGTAATTTCCAAAGTTATTCAAGATTAAGTTTCAGGCACACAATGTCCCCACACCAATCCCTTTGTTGCCTGTGGCTCAATCAAGTGGGGAGTGAGGGAGGTAGATTTGATAAAAGAGTGCTTCACCTCCCTGCTCAACCCACCTCAGCCTCCAGTGCTCAGAAAAATACCTGGCCTCTGAAAGTCTGTCCTAACCCTGGCCCAGGCATTCTGGGTCTGTCATCTTCCCCTCACAAGAAAATAATTTCAGGAGGAGAGAAGTGGTGAAGCAAAACAAGTCTGAATTTAATCTTACTTAGAAAAATAGTAGGAGCGATAGTAGGAGAGATAGCACAGCAGTAGGGCATTTGCCTTGTGCTCGGCCAGCCCATTCGAGCTGGGTTTGATTCCTCCGACCCTCTAGAAGAGCCCGACAAGTGCCGAGAGTATCTCGCCCGCATGGCAAAGCCTGGCAAGCTACCCGTGACGTATTCCATATGCCAAACACAGTAACAAAAATTCTCTCAATGGAGACGTTACTGGGCCTGCTCGAGCAAATCCATCAACAATGGGAGGACAGTGACAGTGATAGAAAAATGTGAAGGAAGATTGAGGGAGGAGTTTATGTTTGAGAGAGGACACAGGCTTCTCCAGAGTGGAAATAAGCAAATAAAATAGAAACCAACATGGAGACAGATAAGAGACATACATATTCAGAACGTATGATTTTTGAAACATTTTTTTCCTTTTTGGGATGCGAGGGAACAAACCGGGCTCAGATGCATGTGAAGCAAACACACGACTCAATGTGCTAATGCTAGGGCCCCTAATTTTTGAAACGTGAAGGAGAAAACTTGAAGCAGAAGTGTTGCACAACATTGGCTTATCCTTGCTCCTCCCACAAGGAACTTAGTTTCATTGAGTTACTCTGACAACAGTGATCCTGAGGATATATATATATATATATATATATATATATATGATATATTTGTATAGACACAGGAAGACAGTGATGTTAAGCTCTTATAACACGGGAGTTAATTGACTCTTTATGATATTTATTCCCGGGATCTATCATATTTACCTGACTTAAGCCTCAGTTGCCCTTATTTCCTAGCACTCCCATAAAAGAGGGTCCTAGCAATGATAAGGATGGACCCAGGGCAGGCAAAAGCTACCCTGGCAATGAAATGAGACAAGCGAATCTCCATAAGTATAATAAGTTAAGAGTATGGTCATGGAACAAATTCTGTCATGACCCAACAAGAAGAAACTGATAAGGACCCTGCTGGGGTTAGGAAAGACTGACCTGGCCTGAGGACTGTAGTCTGGGATATACAGTGAAATGTACCCAGGAAAAGTCAACATTTCAGCTTAATGTATCTCTTACTGTGTTCATACAAAACGACTAGAAATCTTGAGTAACAAGTAAATTCACTAGGATTGTTTGAACAGATTATTAGCTAAGAAAAAGAGAGCAAGAAACCCCAGATGGAATTGTGGCCTTGAGCGGATCTCCTAATAATCTAGAGTGCTGAACCCTCGGGGGGTGGGGAGGGGGAATTTGTCCTTGAGTTAACCGCCTAGAACTTCCTCGGAGGGGTTCTCCATCTGTTTGTTGTTAGGACAATATTCTACCCCACCTATGTGTAGCTCAATTCCTTCACAATTTCTATATAACCATGCTGTAAGGAGGGAGGGAGAAGTCAATACAGACACTGTAATGGGGAAGAAAATAACGACACTATAAAGGAAGAAGTAAAAATAATGACAGTATAATGGGGCTGGAGCGATAGCATAGCGGTAGGGCGTTTGCGGTGCATGCAGTCAACATGGCCGACCCGAGTTCTAGTCCTCTGCCCCTCTCGGAGAGACCGGCAAGCTACCGAGAATATTTCACCCGCACGGCAGAGCCTGGCAAGATCCCCGTGATGTATTCGATATGCCAAACACAGTAACAACAAAGTCTCCAATGGAGATGTTACTGGGCCCGCTCAGGCAAATCGATGAATGACGGGAGGACAGTGACAGTGACAATGGGGGGAAGAAAATAATAACACCGCAAAGGGAGGGAAATCTAACTGTCAGGGGAAGAAGTAACTAAACTGTAAGAGAGTAGGGAGAATGAAGGTGTAAGAGAAAAGAGAAATAGATGGTCCCTGATTATCAACGAGCCCGGTTCCCTACAGTTGCCATTGACTGGTCTGGGGAGGGGCTCTTGGCCACCCAACGCACATGTCGCCACCCCCACCCACACTTCTTGAAACTCACAGAAGTACAGAACTTTTGAAATGAAATCCAAGAAAGTTCTTATAGGTGTTTTTATAGACATCAGCAGTTGAAATCTTCTCTTTATCTGGTATCTGAAATTTGTTGGATAGCTGGTCGATGGGTTGTCCTTGCTCCTCCTGCAAGGAACTTAGGTTGCGTTACTCCCAAGATAGTGCCCCTGAGGCACATCCAACTCCATCAGCACTAATCATCCTATGTTGCTTTCTCTTTCCTTTATGTCACTTGCATGGTTTATTTGTAATGTCCTTCTTGTCTAGACACAGGAAGGCAGTTGATACTATGCTTTGCAACATCGGAGTTAGTTGACTCCAAAGTAATACTTACTCCTGGGCATCCATAATAACTTGACTTAAGCCTCAGTTACCCTTAGTTCCTAGCACTCCAAAAGCAGGGTCCCGAAGAAGGAACCAGATGGACCCATGGCAAGCTATAAGCTACCCTGGCATTGAAAGGGGACAAGTTAAGCCCCATAGGTACACTCAATTAGAGAATGATCATGGGGGACCGAGCAATAGCACAGCAAGTAGGGCATTGGCCTAGCACACAGTCGACCCAGGTTCCATTCCTCCGTCCCACTCAGAGAGCCTGGCAAGCTACCGAGAGTATTAGACATGTTATAAGAAGTAAACTAACTATGATTGTTTAAATGGATTACTGGCTGAGGAAAGGAGAAGGCAATACACCCTGGATGGAATCCTGCCCTTGAGAGGATCTTCTAGTCATCTGGAGTGATGAACCCTCAGATGAAATCTTGTCTTTGAGTGGATCTCCTAGAACTTCCCCTGATGGATTGACTTTACCTCTGTTTGTTGTCATGACAATGTTCAACCCCGTCCTATGTGTACCCCCACCCTTCATGAATTCTATGTAACTATGCTCTAAGGGGAAAGAAGAGACTTTGGACTTTGAGGACAAGAATATGAGAACTAGAAGGATGACAATGATGACTGGAAGTAGAGGACTATGAGACCACAGCAACAATTGTGGGGTATCTGGCGTCTGAAGGCTCCATGAGGCTGCTGATGCACTCGCCTCACAGTGCATTCACCTGCTGGCGGCACCATACTCCCTTCCCCCACCATTCTCTTTTAAGTATTTGTTTATTCTCTTGATTAAATAATGGCCTCTTTCAGGCAAGTTAACTAGTTCTGGAAAACGGAATGAAGACTCCAGCCTGATAAAACTGAAGCTGTAACTGTTTTAAGGTGCATCCTTAACGTTTTCCAAATCTCCTTGGAAAATAAACTGGTACTAAGTTACTAAAGAGATTTCATTGAATAATTTTCACGTGGGCTATTAAACATATAGAATGTGATTATAAAGATACAAATGTGTGTTTTAAATAATAGAGAGAGTGAGTGGAGACATCTTTTATTGTAGCACTGTAGCACTGTCCTCCTGTTTGTGGATTTGCAGGCACCAGTAATGTCTCACAACAAATGGTGAGACTTGTTACTCTTTTTGGCATATCGAATATGGCACAAGGGGCTTGCCAGGCTTTGCCGTGCAGACGAGATACTCTCGGTAGCGTGCCGAGCTCTCAGAGAGGGGCGGAGGATTCGAACCCGGGTCAGCAGCTTGCAAGGCAAACGCCCTGCCCACTGTGCTATGGCTCCAGAAATGGAATGAAGAAAAGTTCCAGAACGTAATGAATACAATAGAGTACATAGAAAGCTCGAGGATAGTAGTCCCAGAGAATACAATTGTAGCACATGCAAATTGTTATAAGGTTCTTAAAATTAAGTTTTATAGTCTGCTTCTACCTGAGTAAAATCTGAGTATAACTTCCCTTCTATGAAAGAAAAAAAATTATCCTGAACAATGGTGAGCTTTTTCAGATAATTGATCTCCCTCGAAAATAAAGATATACTTTATAAACATTATTTTATGTCAACATATCATCAGATCTTTAAATGTGTTGGTTTTGGAAAAATTGAATTATAGTTGTAATTTTGAAATCTTTGTGGCTTTGTATAAATATGTAAGTGAGTATTATTTTATAGTGATTTGTTTTTAAACTCTTAATACTTGTAAGGCAAAACTTTTTAGAAATAAAGATTTTTTTTATTAGTGAAACATGTTATGCTAAGGTTTCAGTTATACAATGATCGAGTACCCATGCCACCACCAGTGCCCATTCTCCACCCCCACCAATCCCAGTATCCCTCCCACCCACCCCCCATCCCCCATCCCACCATGCCTCTGTGTCAGGGCACTCCCTTTTCTTCTATCTCTTCTTTTGGTTGCTGTGGTCTGCAGAAGAGACATTGGGTGGCAATCATGTTTGGTCCATAGACTACTTTCAGCAGGAATCTCCCATCCTGGGCAGATCATCCCAACACCCTTTCTTTTGGTGCTCTTAAGTGAGTTTGCTCTGTGATCTCCTCTTGGACTTCCCTCGTGTGGGGCATCTCTCCGATACCACTGTGGGCTCCACTTGGACCGAGGGGCTGGCTGGTTCTCTGGATTGTCACTGCATTAAACTTGGTCACTCACCAGGGAGGCAGTATTCTGAATGCACCTGCTCGGCCGGGTTCTGCCCACGTTGCTGTGGAGTTTACACAAGGCAGATACAATCCACCAGAACTTACTGCTGTCACTCCTCAGTAGGAAATGGCCTTCTTCCACCAGTATGACAATAATAGCTGGGAATGATCACTCTGGACAGGATCTGAGGGTTAAAAATAGGCAAAGCGATATTCTTGGTAAACTTTCAGTATCAATATTGCAAACCACAATGCCCATAAGGAGAAAGAGAGGAGAGGGAGAGAGAGAGAGAGAGAGAGAAAGAGAGAGAGAGAGAGAGAGAGAGAGAGAGAGAGAGAGAGAGAGAGAAGAAAAACAAGAAAAACAATGCCATAGAGGAAGGCAAGGGCTGGGGTGGGCTGATGGAAGGGAATCAGGAACCTGAGGACACTGGTGCTAGGAAACGTACACTGGTGAAGGGATGGGTGTTGGGCTCAAATCCACTCATAAACAGTTTTGTAAGGGCCCACTCACAGTGTCTCAAAAAAAATGGTCTTCTTCAAATGGGAGGAATCAACCTCCCTAACTTCAAACTCTACTAAAAACCAGTAATAATTAAAACAGCATTGTACTGGCACCAAGGCAGAGCTGCAGACAAATGGAACAGCGTTGAATATACTGACATCTCCCACCAAACATATGATCATCTAATCTTTGACAAGGGAGCAAGAAATGTGAAGTGGAGCAAGGAAAGCCTCTTTAACAAGGTTTCCTGGAAAAACTGTACAGCTCCATGCAAAAAAAAAAATGGTTTCAGTTCTTTACCGAACACCATGTACAAAAGTAAGATCAAAATGGACTAAAGACCTCAATATCAGACTGCAATCCATAAGGTACATTGAAGACAAGGTAGACAAAATCCTCCACTACATGGAAGCTAACGGTATCTACAAAGATGACATGCCACTGAACAAGTGAAAACAGAGATAGACAAATGGAACTATCTTGAACTAAGAAGCTTCTCCACCTCAAAAGAAATAGTGACCAAAACAGAAAGATAATCTACAGAATGGGAAAGGATATTCACCCAATACCCATCTGACAAGGGGTTGATATCAAGGATATCCAAATTACTGGTCGAACTCCACAAGAAGAAAACATTCAACTCCATCCAAAAATGGGACGATGAAATGAATAGAAACTTTCTCAAAGAAGAAATCCGAATGGCTAAAAGGGACACGAGAAAATGCTCCACATCACTAATCATCAGGGAGATGCAGATCGAACAACAATGAGATATCATGTCACACCACGGAGACTGACCCACATCCAAAAGAACAAATGCAACCAGTGTTGGTGCGGATGTGTTGAGAAAGGGACCCTCCTTCACTGCTGGTGGGAATGCCGACTGGTTCAGCCCTTTTGCAAAAGAGTGTGGACGATTTTCCAAAAATTAGAAATTGAGCTCCCATTTGACCCAGCATTATCACTCCTGGGAATATATCCCGAGAGGCAAAAAAGTACAGTTGAAATGACATCTGTACTTCTACGTTCATTGCTGCACTATTCACAATAGCCAAAATCTGGAAAAAACCCGAGGGCCCGAAAACAAATGACTGGTTACAAAAACTTTGGTACATCTAGACAATGGAGTACTCGGTAGCTTTTAGAAAAGATGTCACTCTCACTGTCACTCTCTTCCTGTTGTTCATCAATTAGGTCAAGCGGGCCCAGTAAGGTCTCCATTGTGAGACTTCTTGTTACCGTGTCTGGCATATCAATACATCGCAGGTAGCTTGCCAGGCTTTACCGTGTGGGAGAGATACCCTCAGTAGCTTGCCGGGTTCTCTGAGAGGGGTGGAGGAATTGAACCCTGTTTGGCACGGCTGGCGGCTTGCAAGGCCCTACTGCTGTGCTATCATTCCAGTCCTATATAATACATAACGTATATTTTATATATACTAGCACTGTAGGACTCTCCTCCCATTGTTCATCAATTTGCTCGAGAGGGCCCCTTCACATCTCCATTGTGAGGCTTGTTGTGACTGTCTTTGGCATATCCAATAGGTCACGGTAGCCTGCCAGGCTTTGCGGAGCCTGTGAGATACTCTTGGAAGCTTGCCAGGCTCTCCAGGAGGGTCGAAAGAATCGAACCTGTTCAGCGCGGTTGGCCGCATGCAAAGCAAACACCCTACCCACTGTGCTAATATAATTATCTATTATAATAATATATTATATCACGGTCACAGTCCTCCCATTATTCATCGGTTTGCTCGAGCGGGACCCGTAACATCTCCATCGTGAGACTTGTTCTTACTGTGTTTGGCATATTGAATACGTCATGCGGAGCTCGCCAGGCTTTACCGCGTGGGAGAGATACACTTGGTAGCTTGCCAGGCTCTCTGAGAGGGGAGGAGGAATCGAACCTGGCTCGGCCAGGCCAGCTGTACACAAGGCAAAAGCCCTACCACTGAGCTATCCCTCCAGCCCAATATAATAAAATAATAAGAATATCATAAAGATGTAATTTCATAGATTGCATCTGAGCAGAGACACATGCACCATCAATAACTGCAACGCTGAATGTCTCTGAGGTACAGTCCCGACTCCGGCTACTCTCCAAGGGCTCAGTCTACGGCTGCCTTTGCCTCTAGCTGACTGCCCCGTGCCAGGGCCCCCCACAGGGCTCGCAGCACACACACCCCTCAAGGTAACATCACTGACAGTTGGGGTGAAGCCCAGGCCTGTGCTCTGTCCTCAGAGCCCAGCAGAGGGTCACCTGACCCACGAGTAGCCAATCAGTGGGCTCAGTGTGATGACGTTCAGCCAATCACGTTCTCCAGGGACCAGGTGGCATCCTGCGGGAGAGTGGGGGTTGAGGGAGGGGGCCGTGGGACAGAGACCCCAGGAGGCCTGTGCAGGACGCCTTGGGGAGAAGCAGAAGCCCTGGGCGGGAGCAGGGGGAGCTACAGAGGAGAGCTGAGAGATGGGAGAACTGAGAAAACGGGCGCATCCTGCAGGGGGAGCAGGAGCAAGGGGCACCAGAAGCCGCACCGGGTCACAGCCGCTCGGACACACAACGCTGGCCACGGGCCCTGCGTCCTGTTCCTGCCCATCGGAATGGGCCCGTCCTGGTGCGTCTGTGAAAGGAACCACATCCTGCAAGAGAAACACTGACAAAGACGCAGACCCCGGAGTCGACCCCTTCATTAAAGCTCTGTCTGCCAGCAGGGAGGGGCAGCGGGGGTAGCATTGGGCCAGTGGGGACATTTCTGCTACCCAACAGTGGCCTGGGCCTAGTCAGTTCAGAGTCCCCTGAGGAGAGAGAGCGGTCGCCTTGTCACAAGGATCCGAGTCCCACCAGGGTCGCTCTCCTGGCCCAGCTGGAACCCTTCCTCCCGGAGGCACCCCCATCCCTGTGGCCTGGGAGGGAGCCCTAGAAACATTAGGGATCACACACTGGGGTCCAGATGGGCTGCAGGGCCCCCACCTGCACAACCTTAAATGAGCCCTAAAGGGTCCAACAGGGTGACCGAGAGGCCAGACCCAACCTCCTTGGCAAGGCCAGACGGTTGGGTTCGAAGTTCTTACCTCTTTCCATTTCCCGCATCGTAGTCCCTCAAACATCACTGATTCCCATACCAAGACTATCAACCAGCTCCTCAAGGGGATCCTCCTCCTGCAGCAGGATGAAGAGGGTCATAATCTGGGGCTCTGACATCACACACATTCCCACAGAGGTCACCCAGGAGGGACCAGCTGACCCGTGTCCTCTGTAGCAGAACCCCAGGGGAGCAGGGAGACCTGGAGGGGCTCCCAAGGGGGCCGGACACTCGGGAGAAGGAGACGCTGCCCAGCGGGGAGCAGGAGAGGGAGAAGAGTTGTGGGTGTCCGCTGTGGACACTAAGGAGGGACATGCGGGCCTGGGGCTGGCACAGGCAGAGCAAACTGACAGGGGGCGCTGTGGGGAAGGGGAAGTGCCAGGAAGTCTAGGTCTGGGCTGGCCATCAGGAGCTGGGAAGAGAGAGGGATGATGAGGTATGAAAAACAATCCTATCCTGATGCTCAGCCCCGTGCAACCCCCCACCAGTGCTCAGGCTCATCTGCTTAACGAGGCACGATACAGCTTTTTCCTCCAAAGGCGAAGCTTTCACAGTAATTATCCCCTGGGTGTCACCGGAAGGGGATTCTGGAGTAGGAAGTGAATCCTGGCGGGAGTGGGGACCCTTCCTGGTGCAGGAGGGACAGAGGATGTTCCCTGTGTGGGCACGCTCAGCAGAGAAGCTGTCACCCTGAGGTTGCCTGACCGCCCAGCAATCTTCTTCATATATCTCCTGTGTCCTACTTCACCAATTTCACCAGGGGAAAACTGAAGTCACTGTCTAACAGACTCACCCAAAGCCACTCCGTGATGATTCTGAGATGCTCAGTTAGACGGCCACAACGGCCTTCAACGAGAGGGAATAAACACTGCAAACACAGACCAAAGAGAATATTGTAAGGCAAACACAGAGCAGATGTCGGTTGCACTGGGCATTTAACTCAGGAGAGAGAAGAATCCAACCCCACTCCAGCTGTAAAAGGAAAAGTTTCAGGGGTGAAGGCAGTTGCCTCAAGGGTGAGGCCTGATGTGCTCCAGCACCACAAATAAAGGGGGCCTATGCCCCAGTGCTCGTTTTGTATGTGTGTGTGTGTGTGTGTGTGTGTCTGTGTGTATATGTGTGAGTGAGTGTGCTCACAAGAAGCTCCACCAGACTAGCTCACAGGAGTTTCAGCACCACAATTCATCAGAGTGACGTGAGAAATCACACAGGTTGGGCCATCACCGTGCTATGCCCTGGACATCCAGGTACCCAAACATCCTCAGTCACTGGCTGAGCCCCATCCTGGGCTCCACATTTCCAAAATTTCTCATCACTGCACAAACAACCCCCCTTTTCCTTGTCCCCCTCCTCTTTACAAGGAGCCCTATGCCCTTTTGTGGTGTCCACAGTGTGGGATCTTAGGGGTCAGTAGTTGGACAACAGCAGGGAGGACTAAGGGGAGCTGCCTCTATGCTCAGGACCCAAACCGCTCCCCTCCAACTCCTCTACTCCTGTTTTCTCTCCTGTCCACACTCAGTATTGCTCTGGTGCCCCTGAGGTGCCCAGGTACAGCCCAGGATCTCCCGTATGTCAGGCATGTGCTCTGCCTCTTCACCCACCCCCCAGCCCCTCCTCTGCCCAATCCTCACAGCCCCCATCCTCTGCGTTCAAGGATCTCTGTCAAGTGTCAGACTCCCCTAAGAATAGGCTCCACCTCCACTGTGGGGTAGCCTCTCCCTGACGCCTCCAGTTAAGTCCAGGCCTTTGTGGCTGGTGCATAGCATCACATACCATCTATCATGCAGCCTCTAGCCTGAGTGAACAGATGCTGAGCACGGTGAGCCTCAGTTTCTCGATCCGTGAAATGGGTGATAGAACCTGCTTCTCACCAGAGATAAGTAGAGCTCAGCTTCATCTTCATCTTAAGAAGCTGAGCTGGTGTCGCGTCATCTCCCACCCCAACTGTGACTTTGGAGGGTGCACAGAGGCTCTCTGTCCAGTAATGCCCAATCACCCCCTGGCCAGTAAAATCAGATGGGACAAGGCTTAGGATGGGGACATGGTTGGGAAAAGGGACACACCTGAGCATGAGAGGAAACTTCATAGCGGAGCTCCATGGCAAATTTTTCACAATTCAGATCGAAGTGGCTGTAGGGCCTCTCCTTCCCCACCAGTGCCAAGGCCATTTGGGCAATCACCGCAGGAGGCCTTGCTGTGAGCATCCAGTCATGCTTGTTATTGACCCGGAACTCACAGCCGGCTGCCACCTCTGACAGCAGCTCCTTCTTCACCACAGCTTTGGGTAGCATGTCTGACAGAGACATGACAATCTTCGGTCCTGATTTCCTAAAGTCTGTGGGTCACAGGAGAGGACTCAGTGGTCACCCTGCACAAACCCACGGAGTCCACCCTCCCACAACTAGGTCACCCCATGGCCCCTGTCCCCACAGAAGGGATGAGCCCAGAAGGTCTACCCCTTCTGACTCTTACCCAAGATAGGGTCCCCCGAACCTGGGCCTCTGGCGAAGGCTTCAGAGTCCCCGGACTCTCTTCCCCTTATATCTTTTCTAAGGGGCAGACGGAGCTGGGTGGAACCTGGGTCTCCCACTTGGCCATGCCCTCCTCCCTGATCCAAGCCTCAATTCACTGCAGGTTCTGAAGGATAGCCCGGAAATTCTTACAATGCCCCAAGACAGATGTTGCTGAAATTGTCACAGGAAGGTGGGTGACATGAGCACAGGTGGCCGATGCTGGCTACTGGTCCCAGCGCACCACCCACTTACTTGTGGTCAGTCACCACCCGTGCAATGCCCTGAGCCCCAGCTGGGAGACCTCAGCAGGCTAAGGTGGAAAATCCAGGGCAGATGATGTCCAAACTGCAATGTAGCACTGAAGTACTGTCCTCCCGTTGTTCATATATTTGCTAGAGCGTGCCCAGTAACATTGTGAGACTTGTCGTTACTGTGTTTGGCATATCAAATATATCACAGGTAGCTTGCCAGGCTTCTGCCACGTGGGAGAGATACTCTCGGTAGCTTGCCAAGCTCTCTGAGCGGGGTGGAGGAATCTAACTGGGGTCGGCGGGCTGGCCACGTGCAAGGCAAACTACCTATCCATTGTGCTATCGCACCAGCCCGTCCAAACTCTGTATTATCAAATTCCTGATTCTCATCTAAAGCCTCCCCAGTAGCCCAAAGTCTGGTTCAGCTGCTCTAGTGGGTGTCTGTGTGGGAGGGTGGTTTCGGCTGTTCTTCACCATTGATCATCACCAAAGGGCAATTTAACACCGTGTCTGCTTCGGCTTTTCCAGCTGCAGGAGCAGGTAGGGTTGCAGGAGACTCCGAGGGTAGCATCGGGCCCTCCAGCATCTCTCCCAGCCAGAAGGGGAGGCTGCAGGCAGGAGAGGAACCTGGGCACTGAGTTGGGCAGGGAGACACTGGGGCTCAGCAGTAGACTTCGTGTCCCTCATGAGACAGCCTGGTCTGTGGTGGGACACCCTAGTAATATTCTGGGTTCTGGAGATGAGACCTTGGAGGGGCGCTGCTTAGCATGCTCTGGCTGGATTCCATCCAGGTGCCACTTGGTCTTCGAGCAATACAGGGTGTGGACAGGCACCACCAGCACTGCAAGGCCTGAGGAGCACCACAGACTCTATCCTGGGAGGAACCCAGGACAGGGAGGACATGAACTGATGGTGGGACCTCAACGCTTCCTGAGGATTATTCCGGAAGACTCCCTAAAGTTTACACCCAGATTCATTTGTGGGTATGTGTGGAAAAACACCCAAACTGCAACCTGCCTCAATTTTTCTGACCCTCAGTTTTCTCCTTCAGACCTCCCCTCTGGAATTTCTCGCTACTGAAGATTAGCAGGTGATGGCTATCAGGGAATAGCACTTGTCATTGTGGCCTCAGTGCTATTCCCATGGCCAGGTCTACAGGGGGACCCGCACAGTGTGTCACCCATACCAACAGTCATGTCAGCACATCCTCAAGAGAGGCCCCGTGCTTACCTAGGTTAGTCAGATGGACCACGTAACTGTCTCCCACATACACGGCCCAGTGGTCATATTCCAGCGAGTGATTGTTGAATTTCCCACCACGGAAAAACTCAATCAGGTCTCCAAATATGGGCTTACGACAAAATATCCTCTGCAAAAGAAAAAGGGACAGAGGGAGGTGGGTCTTTGACAGGGAACATTCTAGAGCATTCTCCATCCACCACAAATATAAGGAGATAGGCCCAGGTGAGAAGCCTTGTGTGCCCATCTGCAGGAAGTAAGAAGAACGGGGCTCCCGTCACCTTAGAGAGGTGATCAAAGTCCCTTCAGAGGGGCTTAGAGAGACGATCAGCGCCACAGGTCTTCAGAGTGTCCCGAGACAGTACATGCACTGGGGGCAATAGTGCACCTTCCCCTGGGCGGCCGGGTGACCAGAACAGTCTCAGTAACTGCTGGCTCCTTGCTGGGCTTCTTATTTCCAAAGGTGTGGCTCAAGCCAATGTGAAACTGACCTCCACTGCAGGGCTGCCTCTCCCTGACCCCTCTACAGACATCAAGGCCTTTGTGGAAGCTGCTCTGGAGTCAGATCCCAACTACAGGGCAAGTGCCAGAGTGTGGATGATACCTGGACAACTGCGGGCCTTGGTTTCTCTATCTGTGAAGTGGGTGAGAAAATTTACTTTTGAGTAGTGGGTCCAGCTCAGCCCCACGTGCTGAGTCCATGCTGGTGCCCCTCCACCTCCCACCCAGATGGTGACATTTGGGAAGGGGTACAGTGTCCTGTGTCTGTCAGGCTCATGCTGAGAAGTGTTAGTCCAGAACAATCAGTGTGGAAAATGCTGTGGACGGGGGCAATGGTTGAGAACACACCTCTTCGGAGATGGGTTCTCCGTAGCGCAACTCCGTGGCAAAGTGCTCACAGTTCTTCTCGCTGAAACTGTAGGGCCACTCCTGCCCCACCAGGTCAGAGGCTATTTGGACGATGTTCTGAGGAGATCTCACTCGGCGCTTACCATCGTGTTTGTTATTGACCCGGTACATGCACCCCATGACCACCTCCGACAGCAGCTGCTTCTTCACCACGGATTGGGTGTCTTGGACAGACGCCGCCAAAGTCGATTTCACAGTCGGAATCTTAGTATCTGTGGGATCACAAGAGGGGACTTGGGGTTAACCCTGCACAATCACAGGGAGTCCACCAGCCCAAGAAGTCATCCCGGGACCCCTGACCCATAGAGGGGATGACCCCAGAAGGGCTGACACCTGTCTGCTCCACTCACACCGGGGCCCACTGGGTCTACCTCTGTCAAAGCTTTTGGAGTCCCCAGAGACTCATCCCCTCATTTCTTTTCTAAGCGACAGAGAGAAGCTGTGCGGAACCCTGGTCTCCCACACGAACATGCCCTCCTCCCTGACCCAGCCCCTCCCCACCCATTCCTGGTTCTGAAGCAGAGCCTGGGAGTCCTTTAAATGCCCCAACGTGGATGTTGCTGGAATTGTCTCATGAAGGTGGGAGACACGGCACAGAGCCAAGCTGGCCGAAACTGGCAACTGGCTCAGGCCATCATCCAACTGCCAGCCCACCCCTAGGCACTTCTCCTTGAGTTTCAGAGTGTCCAGTTAAGTGGAGAGAGAGATGCAGGGACACCCAGAGTCAGCAGGGCATTGCGCCTTCTGTGACCCTGTGGCAGTGCTGAGTGTTAGGGAGCCCCTGCTTCCTGTCCCCTGTCCCTGCAGATCAGCAGCTACAGAGGACAGTGGGTTTGGGAAGGGCAGTGTCCCCAGAACATGTGATGACTGACTCCCCACTCTCTAAATGGACGTGTCCACAGCCTGTCTAGGAACTTCTGGCTACAGAAGATCAGCTGTTGTTGGTCCTACAGTGGACAGCCCTGGTCATGCGGCCTCAGTGCTGTGCCTGCTGGCCCGGCCTGCAGGGAGACCAGCACAGTGTGAACCGAACCCACAGTCACCTCAGCCCATCCTCTATAGAGACCCCATCCTTACCAATGCCAGCCAGTGAGACCACATAATCATCTCCCATATACACGCCCCAGTGCTCTAAACCACCGTTGGAAATCTCAATCAGGTCTCCAGGTTTGGGCTCAGGACCGACTCTATTCTGCAGACAAAAAACAGAGACAAAAAGAGGAGAGTCCTTTACAGGGACGGTTCTAGAACATTCTATATCTTCCAGACCTGCTAGGAGCAAGGTCAGTTGCTGAATCCTGCTGTTCTCTGCAGCAAATGGGTGGAGGGGACTCCATCACCAGGAGAGAAGAGATCCCCTGTCCTGAGGTTTCGGGGCTGGGGAGAGGGGGACAGGGTCCCCAGAGGAGCCATGAGAGGGGCTCCCAGGGAGGGGTGCACAGTGGACGGGTGCCCCCTCCCTGCACGGAGCAGGTCTGTGTCAGCGACTGAGGTCTGGTCTGGTATCTGGTAGGAGGTCTAGATACTCACCCAGGCCATCGTCCTCCCCATCTGCTGGTCCCGGGTGACCTCATGTTCTGACCCCCAGACCACCGTGAGGAAGCTAAGCTCAGCCCTTGCCCACATGGCCTTACTCCCGGGAGTCAGAGCTGCCCACACAGAGGAGGGGACCCAGGGTCAGGAAAGGCAGGAGCCTGTCAGCCTCTCCCTCGGAGAGACACCAAGACTGTATCTGAGTGTTTTCCCCCGTACACCCGAGACCCCCCCACCCCCTTCCCCCCACAATCACAGGGGCGAGCCTGGGACAGCTGCAATCTGGGTCCAGGCAAGAGGCAGACAGGGGATCCCAGGGGGAGCTGGAGAGCTTGGGGGGGGCGGGGCTGTGCCCCTGTGTTGTGGCAAGAGCTGGGAGAATGTGCTCTGGTCCACTGCAGAATGGGAACCCCTTGACAGGAGTCTCTGGGGGTTCCCTGGGTCTGGCCACACCTGCTGCCGCTGCCTCAGCTGAGCCGGGTGCCCTGAGCAGGGCCTGTGCTGCCCACTGAGGTCTTGGGAAAAATGATGGACTAAGGCCAGGGGTCAGAGTCAATATCAGGGCGGCAGAAAGACGGAGGGTGCATCTCAGCTCCTGGACAAAGTAACCCCCTTTTGTTGCTCTTAATATAAAGAGTCTCTGGAGAGTTCGTGAGACCATTGTTCCTCTCAGTGAGATTCGCTGCTTTGGGTACAGCCCTTTGTGACCTTTGGTACACTCCAAGGATGTGTGTGTGTGTGTGTGTGTATGTATGTATGTGTGTGTGTGATCACAACACTCCTTCAGAGGAGCTAGAGACGGTCAGCAGCACAGTTCCTCAGAGTAACCCAAGACAGCACACGGGCTGGGGCAGCACTGTGCTGTCCCCTGGGCATTCGGGTGCCCAGGACAGTCTCAGAAACTGCCTGGCTCCTTCCTGGGCTCCTCATTCCCCAAGGTGTGGGTTCCCATTGGTCTCATAACTATTCTCCAGGGCCTTCTTCCTCCTTATAGGGGTCCCGTGCCCACTTAGAATGTCCCTAGTGAGGGGTCGGGGTAAGCATCCTGGACACCAGCAGGCAGGACCCAGGGGAGCTGCCTCTGCGCAGACAAGACACACCTCCCGGGGGCGCCCTCAGCCTCTCTCCCTTTGGAGATGGCCACTGGGAGTCAGAATTTGTCAGTGACTGACATGTTGCTTTTGGTCAACAATGTCAGCGTTTCCCGAAGAGACAGGGAGGCTCACCTGACCCTGGTGGACAATAGTGCACATTGGACTGTACATGACCGGCAGACACTGAGCCTGAGCGCAGGGCAAGGGGATAGCCAAGCTGTGGGCAGTGCCTGTGGCCCAAACTGCCTCCTCTGCCGGGTCAGGCTCCTTCCAACTCCTCCACTCCTGTTTTCTCTCCTGCTCACACCTTGTATTGCTCTGTCTGCCCCTGAAGTGCCTGGGGTGCAGTCCAGGGTATCCCACAGGCCAGACATGTGCCCTACCTCTTCACCCACAGCCTGGCCTCTCCTTTGTCCAACCTGACAGCCCCTGTTCCCTGGCACTCGGCTCCCTGCCAGGGTCAGGCTCAAGCCAATGTGAAACTGGTCTCCACTGTGGGGCTGCCTCTCCCTGACTCCCTCTATGGTATCAGGCCTCTGTGGTAGCTTCCCTGGAGTCAGATCCCACCCACAGGGCAAGTGCTAGACTGTGGATGATACCTGGACCACTGTGGGCCTCAGTTTCTCTATCTGTGAAGTGGGTGAGAAAATTTGCTTCTGAGTAGTGGGTCCAGCTCAGCCCCATGTGCTGAGCCCACGCTGTTGCCCCTCCACCTCCCACCCAGACGGTGACATTTGAGAAGGGGGACGGTGGCTTCTGTCTGTCCGGCTCATGCCTGGATGTCTGTCTGGTCCATCACAGGGAGTGGGGACACTGCAGGGGACGGGGGCAATGGTTGAGGACGCACCTGGTCGGAGATGGTGTCTACGTAGCGCAGCTGCATGACGAAGCGCTCACAGTTCTCCTTGGTGAAGCTGTAGGGCAACTCCTGCCCCACCAGTTTTAACGCATTTTGGACGATGTCCTCACGAAACTGCACTTGGCGCTGACCATCGTGTTTGTTATTGATCCACCACAAGCAATTTCTCATTGAAACTCTCAGGCACACCTTCTTCACCACGGTTTTGATGTCCAGGGCAGCCATCTCCATGATCTTCTCCATAGACAGAATCTTAGTGTCTATGTGGTCACAAGAGAGAACTCAGAGTCAACCCTGCACAATCCAAGGGAGTCCTTAACCCCAGAGTCAGCAGGTCATTGCTCCTTCCATGACCCTGTGGAAGTGCTGAGTTTTGGGGGAGCCCCTACTTCCTGTCCCCTGTCCCTGCAGATGAGCATCCACAGAGGAGACTGGGCACGGGAGGGCTGTGTCCCGAGACAGGGGCTGAGTGAACCCCACCCTCTAACTGAACGTCTCCACAGCCTTCCAGTCAGTGCAAGAACTTCTGACTACAGAAGAACAGCAGTTTATGGGTCTACAGGGGGCAGCCCTGGTCATGCGGCCTCAGTGCTGTGCCTGCTGGCCCGGCCTGCAGGGAGACCAGCACAGTGTGAACCGAACCCACAGTCACCTCAGCCCATCCTCTATAGAGACCCCATCCTTACCAATGCCAGCCAGTGAGACCACATAATCATCTCCCATATACACGCCCCAGTGCTCTAAACCACCGTTGGAAATTTCAATCAGGTCTCCAGGTTTGGGCTCAGGACCGACTCTATTCTGCAGACAAAAAACAGAGACAAAAAGAGGAGAGTCCTTTACAGGGACAGTACTAGAACATTCTCCATCCTCCAAACCTGCAAGAAACAAGGTCAGTTGCTGATTGCCACTGTTCTCCTCTGTAACGAATGAGAGGAGGGGACTCCCACACCAGAGAAAACTCCCCCTGATGGGGTTACTGGGCTAGGAATGAGCCTGAGGAGACAGAGGTGACAGGGTCCCCAGAGGAGCCAGGAGAGAGGCTGAGAGGGAGGGATGCACGGTGGACTCGAGCCCCCTCCCTGCACGGAACAGGTCTGTGTCAGTGAGGAAGGCCTCTGCACCAGGAGGTCTAGTCGCTCCCCCAGGCTGTTGTCACCCCCATCTGCTGTGCCCTGGGTGACCTCGTGTTCCGAACCCCAGGCCAGCCTGCGGATACTGAGCTCAGCCCCTGCCCGCATGGGCCTCACTCCCGGAAGTCAGAGCTGCCCCCACAGAGGAGGGGACTCAGGGTCAGGAGCTTGCAAGACCATTTCCCAGGAGCGACGCCGAGACTGTATCTGAGTTTTTCCCCCGTGCACCCCGAGACCCCCACAATCACAGAGGCCAGCCAGGAGGCAGCTGCAATCTGTGTCCAAGCAAGAGGCAGATGGGGGAGCCCAGCGGGAGCTGGAGAGCTTGAGGGGCTGTGCCCCCGTGGAGCGGCAGGAGCAGGGAGACTATGCCCTGGTTCCCTGCAGAATGGGGGCCCCTTTCCAGGAGTCTCTGGGGATGCCCTGGGTCTGGCCACATCTGCTGCCACTGTCTCAGCTGAGCCGGGTGCCCTAAGCAGGGGCTGCGCTATCCATTGAGTCCTTGGGAGAAATGGTGGACTAAGGCCTTTGATCAGAGGTCAGATCAATTTGGGGGCGGCAAAAAGATGGAGCGAGGACCTCGGCCCCTGTACAAATTAGCCTGAATTTGTTGCTTTTTAAATAAAGTGTCTTGGGGGTATGGTGCCTCCAGCAGGTCAGTCTGTACCTGTGAGGCGAGTGCATCAGCAGCCTGATGGCACCGTCAGACTTTCAGATACCCCAAAATTGCTGCTGTGCCTTTGGCCAGACCCTAAAAACTTGGGGAAAACTTTACCAAGAAAGCAAACGGCCAAAAGTTAGGTATGTGGGAGACACACCCACAAACCACCTCTGGCTTAGCTATATAATTGGAGGTATGGCCTCTCTGCTTCCTGATTGAACTGCTTAACGGCCATGATCCCAGAGACTCAGAAAGGAATCTCAGAACCCAAAGGCTTTTGGCAGAAATGTGCCCTGTTCCTGCAGTAGGTTACTGGTGCTGGGCCACCCCAGGTGGGAATAGTTTTCGTGCCTAGGCCTGTTCCCCTTGGCGGCCCAGTAACCGCCATCCTCCAGAGGCCACTGGACAGTCAGGTTTGGGCCTGCAGTGATGAGACATGTGGGGCCTCACCAGATGGGGGTGGAACTGGCCCTTTCCTCCCCATCCCAACGAGACGCCCGAGTCGCTGCCTACAAATGGCCTCTCTGGCACCTGATCAAGCTAATTAATGGCCATGATCCCAGAGACTCAAAAACAAATTTTGAAACCCAGCGGCTTTTAGCAGAAATGCATCCAGATTGCATACAAGGTGGCCGCTGCTTCATAGCTTATTGGAAAGCCAGGTATGAGCTGGCGGTGATGGGGCAACTGCAGTCTCATGGGAAGGGGGCGCTGTACCGGCTCATCCTTCATGCCCTACCCAGGTCAGGAGTTGCCCCCCACAAGTGGTTCTCCAGCACGGCCATGGCTCCAGAGGCAAAAGGACTTAATCCAGAGCCCAACAGCTTGCGGCAGAAAAGTGAATGGACCATGCGTTAAACTACAGTGCCATGGCTCCCTGGGAGGGAAAGGGCCGGCAGCAAGGTGGCCGCTGCCTCAGAACTTATTGGAAAGCCAGGTATGAGCTGGCGTTGACGGGGCAACTGCAGTCTCATGGGAAGGGGGGCAGTACTGGCTCATCCTTCACGCCCTACTGAGATCACAAGTTGCCCCCATGAGTGGCTATCCAGCACAGCCATAACACCAGACGCACAGAAACCAATCTCGTAATTATCTGGCTCTTTGCAGAAATCCAAAATCGCGAGGCTGCTATTGCTGCCACACAATATTATATGATTCTCATAACTAGCTATTGAAAACAAAGTATTTCACAATGCTTTTTCAGCAATTCTGATTGTTGGGGGGGACTCTAAACAATAATGGTACATCTTTTGTCAAAATAATGAATGTAATCAATGTAGAGAAGAGTTAAGTGGAAATCATCTGCCTCACAGGAAGGGTGGGAGGGGTTGGGGTTCTTGGTGGTGAAAAATGAGTACTGGTGAAGGGAAAGGTGTTTGATCATTGTATGACTGAGACTTACACCTGAAAGCTTAGTAACTTTTCCCACAGTGAATCAATAAATATAAGAAGAAAAAAATAAAATTATGGAAAAAAAAAGTGTCTTTGGAGTTGTTCCGAGACCATTGTTTTTCTCGGTGAGATTTGCTGCTGTAGGTTCAGCCTTTGGTGACCTTTGGTGCACTCCAGGTGTGTGTGTGTGTGTGTGTGTGTGTATGTGTGACCACAACACCCCTTCAGGTGAACTCTAAGAGACTGTCACACCACAGTTTGTCATATTGGCCTGAGACAGCACAGGGCTGGGCAGCGCTGTGCCGTGTCCTGGGCATCCGGTTGCCCAGAACAGTCTCAGTAACTGCCTGAGTTTCTTCCTGGGCTCCTCATTCCCAGAAGTGTGGTTCCCTCCGTCACATCCCCTTTCTCCAGGGTCTTCCACCTCCTTACAGGGGTCCCTGTGCCCACTTAGAGTGTCTCTCTTGAGGGATCTCAAAGGATCCGCATACTGGACATCAGCACGGAGGACCCAGGGGAGCTGCTTCTGTGCAGACAGGATCCACCTCCAGGGGGCGCCCTCAGCCTCTATTCCCCTGGAGATGGCCACTGGGAGTCGGACCTTGTCAGTGACTGAGTAGTTGGTTTAGTTCAACACTGTCAGCTTTTCCCGAAGAGACGGGGAGGCTGCTGATCTGACCCTGGGGGAAAACAGTGCCCAGTGAAGGAGATACTAACCAGCAGACACTAAGCCTGTGCATGGGCAAGGAGATGCCCGAGCTGTGGGCAGGGCCTGTGGCCCAAACTGCACCCTCTTCTGGGTCACACTCCCCCCAACTCCTCTAGTCCTGTTTTCTCTCCTGCCCACACCTAGTATTGCTCTGCCTGCCCCTGAGGTGCCCGGGTGGAGCCCAGGGTCTCCTGCATGCCAGGCATGTGCTCTGTCCCTTTACCCACAGCTTGGCCCCTCCTCTGCCCAATTCTCACAGCCACCATTCCCTGGGCTCTCGGTTCCCTGACCACGGTCAGGCTCAAGCCAAAGTGAAATTACCTCCACTTTGAGCTGCCTCTCACCTACCCATCCAGGGTCATCAGGGTCTGTGTGGAAGGTGCCCTGGAGTCATATCCCACCAATAGGGCAAGGCTAGAGTGTTGACGATACCTTGAACACTGTGGGCCTATGTTTTTCCATCTGTGTAGTGGGAGAGAGAACCTGCTTCTCATCAGTGGATCCAGCTCCACCCCGTCTCAGATCAGGAGCTGGTGCTCTTCCACCTCCCACCCTGATGGTGACATCTGGGGAGGGGACAGTGGCTCTGTCTATCCGGCTCATGGCCAGATGTCTGTCCAGGTAGGCATGGTCAGTGGGGACACTGCTTGGGACGAGGGCACGGGCAGAGAACGCACCTGCTCACAGATGGGTTCCCCGTAGCGCAGCTCTATGGCGAAGTGCTCACTGTTCACCTGGGTGAGTCTGTAGGGCCACTCCTTCCCCACCAGCGCCAAGGCCATCTGGACGATATTCTCAGGAGATCGCACTCGGCGCTTACCATCGTGTTTGTTGTTGACCCAGTACTCGAACCCCGCAGCCACCTTGGCCAGATGTTCTTTTTTCACCATGAATCGGGTGCCCTGGACATTTGCTGCCATGCTCGATTCCACACCCTGAGTCTCATACTCTATGGGATCACAAGAGAGGACTCAGGATTAATCCTGTACAGCCCCAGGAAGTCAACCAGCCCGAGTAAGTCAAGCCATACCATAATTTCCCACAGAGGGGATGATCTCAGAAAGACTGACATCCCCGACTCCAACCCACAACGGGACCCACTGGACCTCGATCTCTGGCGAAGGCTTTGGAGTCCCCAGACTCTCTTCCCCTCATTTCTTTTCTAAGGGACAGACGGAAGCTGGGAGGAAACTGGGTCTCCCACATGGCCATGCCCTCCTCCCTGAGCCAGGCTCCACTCACTGCTGGTTCTGAAGCAGAGGCTGGGAGTTCTTCAAATGCCCTGACTGGATGTTGCAGGAACTGTCACATGAAGCTGGGTGACACGGGCACAGAGCCAACGTGGCCGAAACTGGCTCCTCGTCCCAGACCACCATCCAACTAGCTTGTGTCCAGTCACCAACCAAGCACCACCCTGGGAGGTCTCAGCAGGCCCAGGCGGAAGGTCCAGGGCAGGAGATGTCCACATTCCCCAGGGTCAAGTTCCCCGATTCTTTCTAAAGACACCACAGGAGAACAGCTGGGCTGGTGCCAGTGTCTGGCTCAGCTGCTCTAGGCGCTGTCTGTGTGGGAGGGGGATTCCACTGTCCTTCACCATTGAGTTTCACCAAAAGGGTAATTCCACACTGTCAGGCCTGACTCCCTCAGGCTACAGGAGGGTCAGGTCCAAGGAGAGCCCAGAGGAGAGAATTGGCTCCTGCTGGGATTTCACCTGGCCATCAGGGGAGTTGCAGGCACAAGAGGACCATGGGCAGCGAGTTTGGGCAAGAAGGCATGGGGCCAGCAGTAGAGTCTGCAACCCTCATGAGGCAGCTGTAACCTCTCCCGGGACACCCTAGAAATATTCTGGGTTCTGGAAGCGAACCGTTGGTTGGGGCGCAGGCTCGGCATGCACTGACCCGGGTTCCTTATTGGCACCACATGGTCTGGACAAAAGCTGGGTGTGGCCAGAGCACTGCAGGGTCTGAGCAGCGCCAGAGCCTCGGGCCCAGAGGTGCCCCGGAGCAGAGGGGCTGGAGAATTGTGGGGAGGACTCAGGTCTCCTGGGCACAGATCCAGAAGGCCCCCTGAAATTTATACCAAGGATTCATTCTTATGCATAAAAACACAGCCTGGTCTTCATTGCTGCCTCAATATTTCTGACCTCACATTTCCCCTTCAGATCATCTACTGCATAGTCTTCTGACTATTTTCCTAACCCCTCCCCACTCCCCTCTCTCCCCACCATCCAGGCTCCCAAGCATCCCCACATCTCTCCCTTCTTCTCATCCTGACCTGCCCAATGTGCTCCTTGTCTCTCCTGTAGGGGGCGCGCTACTCCTAGAGAGATTCTAGACCAAAGGGAGTAGCGTGGGGGCTTCTTACCTGCCCTCCCAGGAAATGAAAATCTATGTATGCAAAAACAAAAGAACCTTATGTGGAAATATTGATTGGGGATCCACTAACAAGGTAAAAACTCTAAGCCAAGATGCTAAAAAGAGGGGGCTGGCTTCACCCTGCCAAGGCCACCCCTACCTGCTCTCTTGCCAGCCCACCCCTGGGAGCTTCTCATTGAACTTCAGAGGGTGTAGGTCAGAGGAGAGACGGGACACAGGGACACCCACCATCACCAGGGCCATGCAGGTTCCGTGGCCTCGTGGTAGTGTGTTGGGAGAGCCCTGCTTTCTGTCCTTCCAGCCCCTAGATAAGCAGTTACAGAGGAGATTGGGTGTGGGAAGTACTATGTCCCCAACAGGGACAGGGTGATCCCTAATTTCGAATGGGACGTGTCCATAGCCTGTCCAGGAACTTCCGTCTACAGGTGATCAACAGCCAATGGACCTACAAGGGACAGCCCTGGTCATGTGGCATCGGTGCTGTGCCTGCTCTCCAGGCCTGCAGCGGAGACCCACACAGTGTGAATCAAACCCACAGTCACCTCAGCCCATCCTCTACAGAGACCCTGTCTTTACCGTCGACAGTCAAATGGACCACAGAATTAGGTCCCACACACACAGCCCAATGCTTGAAACAACCGCTGGTCATCTCAATCATGTCTCCAGGTTTGGGCTCAGGACCGATCAACTGTAAAAGACAAAGAGAGAGAAAAAAGTGAGTACGTGCAGGGAAGGTTCTAGAACATTCTACAACCACCATACCTACACAGACCCCAGCCCAACCATAGATGAAGGCCATTTACCCTGCAGGAATTGAAGAGGTGGAAGCTCCCCTCACCAAAAGAGAAGCCCACCTTCTCCTGGAGTTTCTGGACAGGGATAGAGCCTATGGGGACAGAGGGACAGGGTCCCCAGAGGACACACAGGGAGGGGTTCATGGTGGGTGAGAGTCCCCTCCCTGCAGGGAGCAGGTCTGTGTCAGTGAGGGAGGCCTGGTTACCAGGAGGTCTAGACGCTCCCTCAGACCATTGTTCCCCCCATCTCCTGGTCCCAGGTGACTTTGTGTTCCGACCCCTAGGACAGCCTGCGAAAATGAGCTCAGCCCCTGCCCACATGGGCCTCACTCCCGGGAGTCAGAGTTGCCCCCACAGTGGAGGGGACTCAGGGTCAGGAAGTGCAGGAACCTTTCAGCCCTCCCCCAGTAGAGACGCCGAGGCTGTATCTGAGTGTTTCTTCCACGCACTCCGAGACCCCCACATACAGGGGCCAGCCCGGGGCAGCTGCAATCTGGGCCAGGCACGAGGCAGAAGGGGTGCCCAAGGAGAGCTGGAGAGCTTGGGGGGCTGTGCCCTTGGGGAGCAGCAGGAGCAGGGAGACTGTGTCCTGGTGCCTGCAGAATGGGGGCGCCTTCATAGGAATTTCTGGGGAAGCCCCTGCTCTTGCCATACCTGCTGCCACTGCCTCAGCTGAGCCAGGTGCCCTGATCAGGGGCTGCGCTGCTGGGGGTGGGGAGGCGCTGCCCACTGAGACTCAGGGGGAAAAAAACGATGGAAGAAGACCTTTGACCCAAGGGCTTTGTGTCAACATTAGGGCGGCAAAAAGATGGCGCGAGCACCCCGACCCTGCACTAGGATCAGCGCCATGTTTCTGAAGTTAAAATAAGGGGCTCTGGAGACTTACTGAGGCCATTCTCCTCTCGGTGAGATTCGCTGCCTGTGGTTCAGACTTCGTTGCACTGCAGAGTTTTCTTTTTCCTCAACCGTGCCCCGGTGTACCTGTGTCATAAATGAGGCTCATTAAAGTTGACACCAAAACTGCTATGCTCCCCCCAGGCAAGGTCGTGACAGGCAGATGCAGATACTCAGGGGTTAAACAGAGGATACTTCAGGGTGCAAGGTCAGAGTGTACAGGGGAGGAGGGTGAGTCAGAGCGGAGGGAAAGCGGGGCTCAGGCAGAGCATGTGCGTGGGTGGTATGGAGGGCGGCAGACAGGAAGGGTGCAGGAGGCCCAGACCCAGCAGAATCCTGCCGGACCTGAGTGGAGACACTGAACAACCAGGGTCAGAGGAACAGAGCCCCAACCCCATCCTCAGAGACATGCGCCAGGGTCCCCTATCCGACCCCCTCACAGGCTTATGCCCGAACTCCGGAGCGGGGTTGCTGCAGGGAAATGGCTGGTTCTGGAGCCCGAGATGGAGCAGAGGCCTAGACCTCCGCCCTCAGGCTGGGACCAGGGCTTCCTCAGGGATTGGGAAGGGAGGAAACAGGGCACGAAGGGGAGAGGGTGGGGCAGGGGACGGCGGGGCAGAGGCTGGCACAAGGGACTGGAGGAGTAGCAGTTGAACCCCAAGGCCTGCAGGTGACAAGGTTCTTTGATGAAATCACTGGCCGAGCTTGTCAGTAAGGAGCACAGCTGACCCTGGCGCAGGCTGCCCCTCACGCCGTGACCAACAGAGGGGACACCCGTTCTTTCTCTCAGGGACAGGCACCTGTTGTCCCTAAGCCCACAGGCCATGGGGACGTTTCTTAGCTCTGGGGTGAAGGTGTGAAGAAGTGACAGCTCGGTGAGGACCAGATGGGTTCCCTGGTGCCTGTGTACTTGAACCCCACATGGAAAGAGAGCTGCCTGCTTCCCGGTTGTCAGGAGAGACCAGGCCCTCACCCCTCAGGCCTATACCCCAGAAACACACACCCAGACCCAGCGGAAACCCAAACTCAGTCCTGCCTGGTGAGGAGGGAGATGGCTGCTCTCAGGTGACACCCCACCAGACCCCAAGTTCTCTCCTATGCCCCCCCTACAGCAGAGAACCCTCCTGCAGAGACTCCCCCCTAGCAGAGACCCCCACAAGTTGAACCCTACAGGAGAGACCCCCACAGCAGAATCCCTTCACAGCCTTCACAGCTGCAGGGGACCTGCCCTTGGTGAACAGGCTGAGGCAGGGTCTCCCTGGAGGATTAAGACTGTGAGATGGAAATGAGAGACAGAGCAGGGGTGCAGCGCTGGGTTCCGGACCCGTTGTGACTGCCTTTCACTCTCCACGCACAGATTTCCAAACCAGTGATTATTAGGGAAAGGGCTGAGTCCCTCCTTCTCATGTTCCTGAGAGCAACTTCCCTTTTCTGCCTTTGCCTCACCCCAACCTCTCTTTAACCAGGAAAGGACCCGTTCTTCATCTGTGACAAGAGCTGTCCACCTTAGGTGACCAGCATTTATAGTGTGGGAGACTCAGAGGCGGGGGTGGGGGGTGGGTCCCAGCATCAGGCTGTTTGTTGAAATGTCTGTAATGATTCCAGACCAGGAAGGATGGGGAAATGACAAGAAACACACAAAGGGTGATAAGACACACGAAGGACAGTGACAAGAAAAAGAAAACCCAAAGTGAAAACACAGAATTGCTTAGAGATTAAATCCATCCATGATATGGTAGTGAGAGGGTCCTACGCCATATGAAATTCCTTGAACCCCTCCAGGACATGCGGAAGTGCTGACCCCAAAGGCCTTTGGGCACCCCTGCAGGTCTGGACTCTGGAAGCAAATCGGAAACTACCTAGAAGGGCGGGGTGTGGGTGGGGACACATGCAGGAACCCCGGATGCTCCCTGGGACACGCATGTTTCTCCCCACCTCCAATCCACGCCCAAACACCGAGCCCCGAGCACTACTGGGCATGGCCCATAAACCCAAAGAAAAATATCCCACCACATGGGGGCCAGAGGCCCAGCTCAGGGGTGGCAGCTATGTTAGCCCTTCAAGGCTCTGAGTCAATCCTGGGCCCTGGGTGGCCCTGAGCACTGCTGGGAGCAGGCCCTCATACAGTGGGATCACAACTTCCACAATAAAAACGACCCCACATCCCAGGCTCGGAGCACACCTTCTAAGGTGCCTTTCCTGGGTGCAAACAGTTGGACCCTAGTGTGAGGGAGGCAGGGCAATGGGGAGAGGAAGCACTTCCTGTGCCCGAGCCTGTTGAGGAGGTCTAGCCTGAGGCTCACTTCCGGCACTTTTAATTGATGGTTCTGGAAACCAGGACACTTTGAGCTCCCACTTATGATGGGTTTCCAGAAGTTGCTGTTTGTCTATAGCGAAGGTTCTAGACTCCCCAAGGGTCAAGTCCCTCAGCTCTGGGCCGTCACAGCCCAGATCCGCCTCCTGCATTTGGAGACTTGGGGTCACTCACTCTTCCTTCTGCCAGCTGGTTGCAAAGTTTCAGTAGGAGCTTTCAGGGGTGCTGGGGCAGGTCAGGGGGATCCTGTTTCTGAGGCAGGAGCAGAGCAGCTGAGGGGGGACTGCGGGGTGCAAGAACCAAAGAAGGACGCCCAGTTTGGTGTAGGGGCAGGGCCCGCTCTCCTGACTCTACCCCTTGGATCATCTTTCTGGGCCCATCCCAGTGTGTCCCATTGACACAGAGCAGGGACATAGGTGGGGGATGGGGGTCCTCCCTGAGCCGCCATCTTGCTGCACCCAGGCCAAGCAGCTCCGGCACCATCACCCCTAGGAACGTCCACACAGTCACCACTCACTGAACTGCCCCATGGGGGTCGTGTGACTGTGGGGTCTCAGGCAATGCCCTTGGCCCAGGACGTGGTGCCGCGCAGACCCTTGGTTCCGGGAACGATGGTGTCCGAGGCGTTAAGGCCAACCCCAGAGCTTCTCTGAGGCCTTGAGAATCTGCTGGAGCCACGGCCAACTCACTGCTGACCCTGCCACAGCAGCGACTCACCCGGACACTCTCTCCCGCCCGCCGGAACCCGCCATTTCTAACGGCACAATTTTCGCACACTTACCAAAGTCGCTTTCCCTCCTAGCAGATATCAAGAAGGAGGAGGAGGAGGAGGAGGAGGAGGAGGAGGAGGAGGAGGAGAAGGAGGAGGAGAAGGAGGAGGAGGTGATGGAGGAGGAAGAGGAGGAGGAGGAGGATAAAGAGAAAGAGGAGGAGGAGAAGAAGAATAAGAAGAAGGAGAACGAGAAGAAGAAGAACGAGAAGGAGAAGGAAAAGAGAGAAGAAAAGTTTTAGTGTGCAAACAAGGTGGGACGTGGAAACTCCTCTTAGAAGAGACGCTTTTCTGCCACCAGTAAGTAAGTCACACCAGGATTCTCTCGAGGGTAAAGTCCCGACGTCCAGCTAAATATTCTCCAGGCGCCCGGATGGACACTGACCCTGCCCCTATCCAGGCTAACCCACCAGCAGCTAATCAGCGGGCGCTGCGTGGACACGCTCAGCCAATCACGTTCACTCGGGAACCTCGCGGGAGCCTGTGGGTGAGTGGGGGGTGGGAGGTGGGCGGGGGCAGTTGGACAAAGACCCGGAAGGCCTGTGCAGGACCGCGTGGGGAGAAGCAGGAGCACCTGGCGGCAGCAGGGGGAGCATAGAGAAGAGATGGGAGAGACAGGAGAGAAGGAGAGCAGATAAAACGGGCACAGCGTGCGGGGGCAAAGGGAGCAGCGGGCACTGGGGCCGCACCAGGTCACGGCCGCGCGGACACACAGCGCCGGCCACGGACCCTCGGTCCTGTTCCTGCCCATCGGGATGGGCCTGTCCCCGTGCTTCTGTGGAAGTACCAGTGTCCTGCAAGAGAAAGACAGACACGGATGCAGGCCCTGAAGTCCAACCCTTTATTAAAACTCTGTCTTCCAGCAGGAAGGGGCAGCGTGGGCGTTACTGGGCCGGT